AAAAAAAATGATATTTTTAAATTATTTTTTTATTATATTATAATTATAATTAGGTTATTTATTTATCTTATATTATAATAAATAATCATACATAAAAAAATATTAAAATTTTTTAATATAATTAAATTGAAAGTGAATATTAAATTAAAAATAAGAACGGGGACGGGTACGGGGTGGGTAAGTACATACCCATACCCGTACCCGTACCTGATTTAATATATCGGGTTCTACCCGTACCGGTACCCGTACCCGGTCAAACCAGGTATTTCCCGTCAAAGTCGGGACGGGTTCGGGTATTACCCGCAGGTACGGGTATATTTGTCATCCCTAATAGCACCACACAGCACAACACAGCACAACATAGCACAGCACAACAATTCAACATACTTATTTTCACGATTCAGCCCAACACTCTATATAGTTCCACTATACTATAAAGTTTTTCATTTTAATTCATCAATTCCAGCTCAACAATATATCCCTATTACAGCCTCACATCATTTTCTCAGTACTATCACCTAGTCATCACAACATGTTCATCAAATATAACTTAGTTCCGCATACAACATCATTGACTAACAATCTCAGCACGATTCAACAGCCAACATCATATATCTCAATATTTCCTTTCGTGCCCGGCGCACTCGAGGTCACGCCCAACGCAGCTCAACCCGAGAGCACCAGGGGCCATCGCGCCCAGCGCCAGAGTACTCGCGCCCGGCGAGACTCAACCCGAGAGTCCAAGGCTGTCACGCGCCTGGCGCAATTCCAAGTTGCGTCCAGCGCCTGCCAGGCAGAGACTCTAAGGAGTCTCATGCGCTCAGCGAGGCCTAACCCGCGCCTAGCGTGGGGAAGGCAGAGACCTACCAAGGTCTCGCGCCCGGCGCAATTCGCATTGCGCCCAGCGCCCTCTTGGCAGAGACTCCCAAGGAGCCTCCGCGCCCAGCGAGTCCAAACGCGCGCCTAGCGTGGCACCAGAGTACCCAAAACATGTCACCATTGATATCGCGCCTGGCGCAGCCCAAGTCACGCCCGATGCGGGCCAACCAGAGACTCCCATTTGCAAGCTCGCCCGACGCACACAGCTTTGCGCCCGGCGGGCTTGCCTAAACAGAGTCTCCTGGTGGTCGCGCGTCCGGCGCGAAGAACAGCGCCCAGCGCGAACTCATCAGTAACTCTCCCCAAGTTCGAAAATTTCCCAAAACCTGCAAAACTTAACAGAAAACTAGCATGCAATCCAGCCAAAAGTTCTCATTTTCATCCAAGATCAGTAAAAACGCTTCATTTTCAACATGCAACCATATAACAAGCATTTCTCAAAATTTCCTCAAAGACCCCGAAAACCCGAAAACCCGAAAACATCAATTTCTGCAGTTCTCAGCTCAAATTTAGCAACCATTAAACCACCGAAGAGTTCTTAGAACTCGTTTTCAGCCACACAAAACAAAGGACTAGCTTACCTTACCTCGGTGACGAAATTCGAGCTTCCGGGAATGAGATATGGAGGAGAGGGTTGAAGAAGAATTTGAACAACCGAAGGAGGGGAAAAGAAGGTTCCGAAACTCAGCTATGAAACCACAGCTACTCCGCACTACCACCTTGAGCCCAAGAAAGTGAATCAGCCAAGAAGAAGGATCCAAGCAAAAAGAGTGGGTGAGTCAAGAGAGATGAGAGTGAGAGTTGAGAGTGTGTAAGGGTAGGGGAGAAAATAACGGGAAGGGGAAAAAGAAAGGGGCTTCACATTAAAAGCGGAAAAGAGTGCATATAATGATTTGTGATGGACATACACATAATTTATTTACTCATAAAATAAAATAAACATTTAATAATAAAGTAGTAATTTTATAATACAGTAGAAAATTTTATTTGAGCATTAATTAGTCATTATGTAGGTATAGGTGATCAACTTTTTAAATTTTGTTATTAATATGCTATAAGATATGGAATTTATTAATTAAAAAAAAAAAAAAAGGGGGGGAAGGAATGAGTAAGGGGAAAGGAAGGTGACATTAGGAATAAAAAAACAAAATAAAGGTGGAAAGAGGCCAATTCCCATTCTTCTCTCAATCTCGATTCTCCCAACTCTCAATCATTCATCCTCTTCGCCCTTCGCCCTTTGGTATGTCAATCCTTTCTCTTCCGCTGTTTCCTTTCCTAACTCAGATTTCTAATGTTTCGCTGTTTCAATTTTTCAGAGACCATGGCCAAAAGCTCCTTCAAGCTTGAACATCCCTTAGGTATTTTTCTTCATTTTTTCTTTTTAATATTATTACTGTGCTATTTCGGTTCCCATGGTTCGCTCCCTTGCCACTTGCCACAACACAGCTTTGTGCTTAGTAGAATTGTGTTTAATTAGTATAATTGAAACCTTTTGATTCGTCGAATTCAAAATTGATGGCTTTTGGATTATGTAGAAAATAAAAAACTATGGTATAGGATAAATCATCTAAATCGAAATCGAATTGATTGGGATTATTTAGTCTAGGACAACTGAAAAGGATCTTTGGCTTATTCTCTGTTCGAATAGAATACTGAACGGTGGTTATTCCAGTTTGTTTAGGCTTAAAAAAAGTAATTTTAAAACAATTGATTTGTGTTTAAGAGATTCTTATATAAGCGTCAGCTTATTTGTGTTTGATTACAATTATAAAAAACACTTTTTTAAACCTTCATCTCTTTAGTTGCTGCTTTTTTCTGCTTCTAATTTTTAAGAAGAGTTTACCCAAACATCTCTAAATTTTCGACGAATACCTTTTTTTTATCAAAAGAAGTGCTTCTTTTTAGGAAAAAGAGAAGTTTAAACAAAATGGCTCATATGTATTTTTCTCTCCGACAATTTTTTTCACCCTTTTACGGCAATTGTATTTTCACTTGATATCTAAGGCATACTTTGTGGCATATTTTTCCTTTTGAACTCTTGAATTGAACTTCTTGGTCCTCCCCTTGTCAGAAAGAAGACAGGCTGAGTCTGCTCGCATTAGAGACAAGTATCCTGATAGAATACCTGTAAGATTTTTTTATATAGATTGTTTGGTTGTTTGTAGTTTCTTGAGGCACTTTTATTGAAATGCAGTCATTGTGTGCAGGTGATTGTTGAGAAAGCTGAAAGAAGTGACATCCCAGACATCGATAAAAAGAAGTTAGTGATTTTATCATATGCCACATACACTATTCTATTTGAGTATAGTTTTGCTGTCTCAAGGATATAATTGTTTTTCTTTTCTTTTTTGCTTGAAGTTATGCTTTTTGTGAAGATTTTGTTTCAAGGGTACAGTTGGAGTAGTCAATTAGTTAGGTACAGGAATTAATTAGATATAAATAGGGGAAATTAAGGGGAAAGGATTCGTTTTATTCAGTTATCAATTGTAGATTGAGTTTTTGCTCTTCATGAATGGAGAAATCCTTGGTGAAGAGGAAGCCCTTTGAGGAGATCTCTCTCTCCCATTTTCTCTTCTTTCCATTAATTATTAAATTAAAATCTTTCTTTTGTTTCCCATTTCTATGTTTAGTACCTAACAAAATGCGTGGAGAGAGGCTGCTCTCTAAGATGTAGAGTCTGTTTAGGAAAGAACAGTGGAGGAAAATGAGAATTCCAATTATAAGGAAGGGAGTTCTTCTAATCATGGATCAAATTCGAATTTCATAGGTTAGAAAGAGTATCATGTGGAAATTAAGGAAGTGGAACTGCCAGCCTTCAATGGGGAAGGCCTTGTGGGATAGATCACCAGGGTAGAAATACCCTTTGAAGTGCAACATAGGAATCAACCATCCATTGGTTCAATCTTTTGACTGAAACAATAGATAATCTCAGTTGGGGGAAATTAAAAAGGTCTCTGATTGCGAGGTTTGGATGATAAAACTCCATGCCACAGTATTCCTTTTTTTTATTCTCCCTTTCCATTTGATTTACCTAATAAAGAAACATTAAAAGCCTTTAAATTTTTTATACCCAACCCTCCCTCACTCTTTTTCCTTCACCTTACAGAACCCCAAAAAAAAAAAAAAAAACAGTTTTGGAAACTTGAGTTATCTTTTACCTCCTTCTTAAGCAGATCCACCTAGTCTATCCTTCTTCTATTTAAACAAGCATGATAGTACCTTGAATTAGAGGTCTCCTCTTTCAGCCACCTCGACCTAGCTTTCTTAAACACCATACTTTCTTTCATTTTTTAATAGCTTCCAAACATTAGCTACTTCTAATTTTTCTTTTCTTTTCCCAATATTCTTACAGAGTTGATACTGATAAACATACAGAGTGCTGGTATTGATCAATACTACTGGTGGTAGCAAATATCCATGTCACTAACTATAACCTTGTAACTTAGTGATAAAATTTGTGTGGTGGGAGAAACCAATCACCAAAGCCTAGCTGTGGCATACTGGCATTATATTACATGGAAGTATAGATTCATAAGAATGAAACATTCTGTTATTGGCGCATTCAGTGGCTGCTGCTCTATATGGCAACATAATGGCAGCTCGTACCATCAGGATACACTTATGTAATGTGATCTTTCTACTACTCAACTGGTATAGGAGAAAGAATGAAGGAATTGGGCAAAATTGACACAAGAACTGTTATTCAGAGCGAAGGCTATGGTAGCCAAGAATTCCAAGTACATGGTGCGCTAACAGAATTGTACTGGTTTCATAACCGTCTAACTCCTTGTTGAGCCCACCTATTTATAGTATCTCAAAATCATTTAGAATTAGTTACTCCTTTTTATTATCCTGCCTTACGTATACCCTATATGCCCTCTTAATTACTGAACGACTATCAATTTGCAGCTTGTTTTTGTAGCCTAGTCAGCTACTTTTTTCTATGATCCAAATGAATGAAATATTTTCCTTTGGTTGTATTTATAAAAAAACAAATTTTTAATGTAAATAGTTAAATGCTTATCACCTGTATGTAGAAAATTATTTAATGAACTAGTTTGCAGCCACTTCACAACTTCATCTTAATAAGATATTTGCCAAAGATTGATATATCATTAGGTAAGTTAGGCTAGAATGCATCAATTTATGATTCTGTGCATTAGTGGATTCTCACTTGGTTCTGTTTCTCTTGTTGTGATGCTGTAGGTACCTTGTCCCAGCGGATTTGACTGTTGGTCAGTTTGTTTATGTTGTTCGTAAAAGGATTAAGGTCGGTGCGGAGAAGGCTATTTTCGTTTTTATCAACAACACTCTACCTCCAACTGGTAAGTAGTATTAGTCACTGCTCTAGCAGAATTATAAATTATGTTGGCAGTTCTGGATGTACTGATGAATTGAATCTCTCGTTACAGCTGCCCTGATGTCTTCTATTTATGAGGAAAATAAGGACGATGATGGCTTTCTTTATATGACATACAGTGGAGAGAACACTTTCGGCTTCCGCTAGGGTCAAACTCTATGATTTATATCCACTGTAAATAGATGCTGCAATATGTAAACTTTCTGCTGTTGATAGTCAATGCCTATCCTGTTGATTGCTTATGGTTTACGTATCACTTGAGCAGTATTCCTGCTCTTTGATCATGTGCAGTTGTGCCCTGTCTTTAAATTATGGATTTCAATATATAAATTTAGATTATATGCTCTCACCGTTTAATTCTTCTTTTCTTTTTAGTCCCGGGCAGAAATTTGTAATTCTTATTTTCGTTTTATTCTTTTGGTTTTGGTAACGAGTACTCTATGGTGCTTATTTTTTGTGATTAAGGATCGCAACTGATACAATAAAAAAAAAAAAAGGGGTAATGCAGTGACTTGCAGAGATTGGTAGTGAGTTTTGGCTCCCAACTCCATGATTGTCACACAATGGTTAAAAAATTATTGCATTATTGAAAAGCTTTGTGCTACAAAAGAGTGTGAACCTGTTCAGGTCTATGTCCTGAATTTGTGATCTTTCCTGAGACCATATTGTGGTCCATGCCATTGCTCAATTGAACAAGGTAGTTTTAATTTATGCTGCTTGAAAACCGTGGCCCTAGTGATTTGACATCCTATCCTTTTGAGTTGGTTCCTCTGTTCAATTCATGTCTGTTATGAGCCAATCCTAAGGCTTAAGTGAATAAAGGGTTAGATATTACAATAAGGGTAGTAAAGGAGTGAAAATTGAAATCAGTTATATATTTTCTATATATACATACTGTGTCAACTTTGAGAAGGGGATAATGAATTAAGCATTATTCTTTTTCTTCCTATTTGATCATCTCTTCCTCTCTCTTTTTCTCTTTTTCTCTGGAGGTTCCTTCCCTCGAAGTAAGGTTGTAACAATATCCTAACCAAATGTTGTTCTATCCGGGTTTAATATTTATGACGCTTCAAAATGCTGTCTATGTACTAGACACTCAGAAATTACGAAAAATGTTGATGTGGTTTTATCCATATTTTGTTGTCTTCTGTAATTGTCGTCTTGGATCGTTTCCGAAGACTAAATTAGAGTAGTCTTTAAGTGAGGTTTGGAATAATAAAATTATGTGGAACTCTGTTTAAATGAATTCGATTAGAATTTTCTTATTTATTTTAAAATAAGTTACTTTAAACATGCAATAAAAGTAATTAAATGTTAAATTTCACGGATTTAGACATTCACCACAACTCTTGATCTTTCCATAATTCCAACACAACTGACCTATGACAGAAGAGAGACAACAACTTCACAGCAACGTGTTCCTATAATAATAAAATAAATTTTAGTATGATAAGCTCCTTAAATGTTTTCCCAACATGAACTTGAGAATTATTTTTAATCTACTGTCATCATGGATTGTTAAGCGAAATAATGACCCACTATACTTAAGAATGCCTTGTCTCTTAAGCAATGAATCATGCAGTGTAGTGATTTTTTCTCCCGGCAAAATAGTGAGTTACTGACCCACTAACACCAACTTTAAACAGAGCCTTTCTCGGGAATCAACTAATGGCATTCAATTGAGCTTAACTAATAACTGAGTGAAACACCAATTCATTAAAAGGGAAAAAAAGTTACAAAACTGGTATCTGCCATGGTGCTGAATTACAAGTGCACACTGTATATTCTCTCATTTACTGCTTGGATGTACTCTTTTTCTTGCACAGGCTTTTTATCCATTTGACACAATTTGAGGCAGTTGCTTTGACTTTGCTGAGACCACCCTTAGAACCTGAATTCTTGTTCTTGGCAGTGTCTTTTTGAGATCTTGTGTCATCATCTTCCATGGCACCAATACCACCAGCACCCCATTGATCAGCCCAACTTGGTGCTTCGCTTTCCATGTTTCCTGACGTCTAGAGTATAAAATAATACTACTAATTAAAGTTTGTACAAATTCTAAATCATTGCAGCAGAACAAATCTAGGGTGAATTTGTAGCCAATTTGATCTTAGGCACACCAAGGAAAGAAATTTTACTTGTCTTGAAAAATATATTACAACATCAATCGAGCACATGATTATCATATAAATCCAAGACACATCTCATAAAACTAAAGAAGCTTTCAAATCTAGAAATATTTGGCAAGTGTATGCATTGAAAACTTGAAACTGAAAAACTTAAAAGACACGAACAGTACCTCAAAGGACTCAGGTGAAGTTGGATGCAGAAGATTTGAGAAGGTTGATGGAGGAGTTAAAAGGGACAGAAGGAGTAAACCATATTGATAGCTATATAGAGGGCTAAGGGTAACTAACCATGTTAGATGGCCTAGCCTGTCTATCACTCTCCCTGTTACATTGCCTTTTCTTTTTCTAATTTATCTTTATCTTTTTCATTATAGGACTTGACAACTCACCCATTTGTTTGAGTATTCCCATCTGGTTAAGCAAACTAGGTGCGGAATCTTTCTTATTTATTTTATTTTAAATACTAAACCTTATCTCATAATAGTGGATGGATACTTTTTTAACTAAGGTCATGTTCAGCTTTGGTGTGGTTGTGAGCCACTGTCATAGAAGGCCCAAGGTATTTGTCAATTATCATCCAACGTTGTTGTCCATTGACATTTGACAATGCATGGATTTGCCACTCTCTCGTACTTTTTTATTCGGGGTCAAATAAGTTTATCATTCCTACAAAATTTTAAATTTCTGATTTTAATTTTTATATAAAAAAAATTGCCTATTTGTAGTCTCTCGTTTATATTTACTTAGAGCTTAATTTATATAAAAGTTTTAGTGTTAACCTATGAAAAATCATGCAAGTATAATTTTTAAAGATAATACAATAGATTTTTAGTTTCCGTGAAAAATTAAAAATGAGCATCAAAAGGACAAGAAATTAAACACAGAGACTAATATTCATTAATAAATATTTATATAAATCTTTTTAGGGATAAAAATCTTATTTAACCCTGCTTTTTTAGAGCCCCAACAAGCATTAAATTACTGTTTATCACCCATACTTTTGTTGGCAAAAAGATAAAGAACATATATTCATCAAACTATGATTAGTGGGTGGCCTTTTATGACTCGAAGGTACAATAATAAACACTAGTCTAGTATCCTGTTATCTATCTTTAGACTACTAGTTTCAACCACCTTTATTGTTGTTTTTCTTTGCTATTAAGTTCCAAGAAACCTGCTTTCACAATTTCCTGGGAAACTAATTTGCATGGTGGTAATAGTACCCTGTTGTTATCTTTAGAAAATTAATGCTTTTATTGTTATATATAAAAACGGAACGCAAAAAAAAAAAGAAAAATCTGAAAATTATCTAACTCTTGAAATATTAACGTTCCGGGATTCATGCGGGGACCGAGCCCTTGAATTAATTGGATCCAGCCAAAAATGTGGTGGAATGCTACAATCAAAAAACTTTAAAAAGAAAAAGGAAGGTTTGTCAAAAGAGAGTCAGACAGGAAAAGGAACGTCTTCTGTACGAAGGAGGCTCTATTTATCCAACAATAACGTCAAGGTATGTGAAACCTAAATCTTATTCAAATTTAAATCCACTCAACTACACCTAATTATGTTTTTATTACACGATGAATTAATTACTTACCTTTACACTTGAGAGTGATAATAACTTCTTGAAGATTACATGTCTCTATTTATCAAATAAAAATAAAAAGTTGTTTTAACAGTGCAAAATTTTTCTTTTTTAATTTCCTATTAGTTCCTTATTTATTTACTTATTTTATATTCACCTTCTTAATCAAATGCCAATTTTTCAAGAAATTAGTATAATTTGCAAGTTGTGATTATTTCAAATTTAAAATATTTTTAAGTAATCCATTTCTATATTAAATTGTGAGACATTCTTTAAAAATTATACTAATTTCTTATTTTATAGTCCCTTGAAATTATATATATATATATATATATATATATATATATATATATATATA